CAAGCGCGAAGCTTGTCGCGTACCATGCGGTACGGGCGTCCCCACGGGTCTCTATTCAGAGTCCCCAGCATCTCCCGGCGGGCCTCCTCCTTGGCCCGCAATATCTCCGCCTTGAGGACGGCTTTCGCCGCCCTGTATCCCTCATACAACTCCGCCTCTCTCGCCTCCGCATTTGGAGGACGGAGACGGCGCCTGCGGTGCCTAGTGTACTGGCGTCGCGCAGCAGTGCACGCCTTGCGTAGAGCTGCCAGCTCTTGCGACCACCAGTACACCTGGCGCTTTTGTTGCTTCGACCGGATCCGGGGCATCGCCACGTCACAGATCCTGGACATGGCGTCCTGGAGCCACTTGGCCTCATCGTCAATGTCGGCAGGCCTGACCGGTGGTATCACCCAGGCCTGCACGATGGCGGCTTCCAGGAGCAGCTCCCGGTCCAGCTGTTTCAGCGCCCAACGCGGGCTACATGGGGCCTGTCTGACCGGCGGATCCGCGGACTCGGCGGAGACGTTGAACCGGATATACCGGTGGTCGGAGTACGTCTCCACCTCCTCCATGACACGCCAGTCAACGATACGTGGTGACAGAGCAGGGCTGGCGAACGAAATGTCCACCACCGACTCGCCCTGCATCCGCACGCACGTAGGGACAGAACCCCGGTTCAAGACGACTAGGCCTGCCTCAAGGGCCCAGTCTTCCACCATCCTACCCCGGACGTCGGTGAACCGGGAACCCCAAGCCAAATTCTTGGCATTGAAGTCCCCGAGGACGAGCACGGGGAGGGAACGGAACCCGACGACGACTGTGACCAACTCCATCAAGGAGTTGTGGAACTCGGCGAGAGTTCGGTTCGGAGAGAAGTACACGCCCACCACAGCGAGCTCTCCGAACCGTGCTGCGACACAACCCCGGCCTCTTTGAGCTGCCTCAAGAGTCGGGGTACCGGCGGCGGCCGATGAGATGATGGTCACCGAGCCGTCCAGGTCCGCCACCCAGTGATCCCTGGGCGGGACAAAGTACGGCTCGGAGACCACGGCGACATTGATCGACCACTGCGCCATGCTCTGGAGCAGGAGATCCTGAGCAGCGGCGCAGTGGTTAATATTCGCCTGGAGGAGGCGGAATGGAGCCATTATTGACAGTCCATTCCGATCTCCTCAGTAGCGGCAGCGGCGACTGCGGCGGCAGTGGCGGCGGCGGCGGCGGAAACGGCAGGGGTGGCGGAGGGCCTACCTTTGCCCTTGGGTTTGGCAGGAGGGGAGCAGCCCTTGCTCCCGACCCGGTGATTGGCCGGCTTGCCAGCCGCCGCACATGCGTTGCAGTGCAGCGGGGCAGTGCAGGAGCCGGCCCTGTGACCGGGCCGACCGCAGCGGAAGCAACAGTCGCTGCGGTCCACCTCTGAGGTGCATTTGGCGCTCACGTGCTCCCCCACGTGACAACGGTAGCACCTCAGAGGCCGGGTCTCGAGCAGCTTTACCTGCGCCGAGACCCATCCCACCAAGAGCCTTTTGCCCTCCTTCAGCTTCTTGGCCGCTGTGACGGGGCAGCTCACCACCACCGTGCGCAGCCCCGAGTTGTCCGGACGGATGGTGCCCGCCTTGATCTGGTCAGCAGGGCACCCTCCCGTCCTGGCCACAGCGGCCACCACCTCACTTTCCGTGACGGAGTCGTCCAGGCCCAATATCCGGACATCCACACATTTGGTGGGCCTGGACACGCGGGCCTCGTCTGCCCCGAGGCACGCCCTAAGCCTCTCAGCCAGGGCGTCGGCCGACGGGCCACTGGCCGCGCCGGGGACCTCCAGTAGACGGGCTCCGGTAGCGGTCACCTTGACCGCAAACCCGTCCGGGGCCCCGAACTCCGCAGGTGTTACCGCCCCCTTGAGCTTGGCGAGGACGTCACCATAGGTAACGCCCCTATTGACCGCCTCGGGCTGCAGTGTAATAACTACAGCCGCGGTCTTAGGGGCGAGGAGCAAGGCAGCAGCGCGTTTCTCCCTGCGCTGCTGCTGCCGTCGCTGCCGCTGCGCCTTTTTGCGGCGCTTTCGGCCCTCCCTGGCGACTCTCCTCGCCTCGCCGGCGATTTGCCAACCGCCGCCGTCCTCCACTCGCGGGGCGGGTTCCGCCGCCGCTGCTGCAACTCCAGCTTGCCGGGCTGGAGTGTCCCTCCTCTTTTTGCGCCTCATGGGCGCAGGCGCCATCGGCGCAGCTGGGGTCTGCGCCGGCGGGGGCGCCGAGGGCCTCGCGGGAGGAGGCGCCCGCGCCTTTGCCGGCGGTTGGGGGCCGCGGCCAGCCTGACCAGTGGAGGTCGGAGGCTTGGCCACAGCAGCCGCGTATGAGCCCGATGCCGCGGGCGGGGAGGCCCGGCTCGATGCGAGCGGGGGGCGCAAAAGCCTGCCCTCCAGCACGTCAAAACGTCGCTGGAAGGCAGCCATCTCCGCTCGCAGCAGTCCGACTACGTCGGACTCCGCCGGGGGCTGGGGGTGACTGCCGCGAGCAGCGGCGAGCTCGGCCCTGGCCGTCCGCAGCTCGGCCTCCAGGGCCGCATTGGAGGCCGCCAAGCGCGCCAGCTCCCGCCGCATCTCGCCCAGCTCGGAGCGCACCTTTTCTGCAGTGGGCACCGCGCACTGCTCCAAGGCTGCCTCCGTAATAGTGGCCACCGCCGCCCTGAGGAGGGAGAGCCTAACCGGCTGGGATTTCCCCATAGCCAGTTTATGGAGCACCTCCGTGATGGCCTTCGGAGGTGCCCGGAGCCGCTCGCGCTCTCGGAGCCCGACTCGCCCTCCGAAACCTCCACGCCGGACATCTCGGCTGCGGAGGACTCTGAACGGGCAGCGCTCGAGAGAGCCCTGCCCTCCGCAGCCAGTCGCTCGGCTGACTCCACGCAGGCAACTGGTGCCGGTTTCCGGCGACCGCCGCCCTTGCCGCCCCTACCCCGCGCCGCCGTTGGGACTTTAGGGGGAGGCGCCTGCGCGCCGGAGGACGGGGACGAAGCGTCCTCCTCCAGCCTGGGACGCTTAAACGTCCCCGTCACGCGACGGCGTGAGCCCTTCGAGCTCACGCTCAGCCGATCCGCCAGTGATGTGTCGGACTCAGGGTCCGACACCATCGTAATTGATGCCCGTGTGTGGGGCACGCTAGATGTGTCCAGCGTCTCCCCACGGGCGCCAGAGCCCCTTAGGCTCCCCTCTACTACGTCTGCAGGTGAGCCAAGCTCACCCGCACTCTCCTCCTCCGACAGTTGTGGTTTTGTTTTTTTAGATTTTACTTTCTCCATACAGTTCCCACGAGTATGGGGGAAATATTCGGTCCACCCAGGCAGTGCCCCCTGTACCTGGGTAAGTGTTCATTTGTTTCCCAACTAGAGGTTCCAGAGAGACGGGCGGAGAAACGCCCCTCGGAAGCGCGGGCTATGAGCCTCCGCACACAGCCCGCCGCCTCCAGAACCCTATCGGGTTCGCCCGCCCAGTCCAGAAGTCTGCTGCGGGCGACAGTCACTCCAACCCTATCACCCCCGCTAGGGAGACTGTCGCCCGCACCCAGGGTGCACCACGGGGAGGTCTTCTGGCACCGCACCCCATGTCTTTACCGCTACGATATACCAACCACCAAAACAAAACATCACTATGTTTAAAAAAAAAAAAAAAAAAAAAAAAAAAAATAAACAAAACATGGCCGCCACAAGGCCAGGGGTACAAACTACATAATAAACTCAATATGACAAATGAACTGCGTATTAATTTCCCTGTCAATACTAGGGGAGCACGGCTGCTTAATTTTTCACGCCTACGCGAACAACTACCAATAATAAAACTAATGTATTTCCTCCCTTCCCTCCTTGAAATAGAATTCATTATCGCATAATTTCATAAATTAGAATACCGAAACCATTATATAAATGTCTTTAATGTTTGTTTATTTTTATTTTTGTTCTTAGGGTCGAAATTACCTTGAACTTCATTATGTAAAGTTACGCAAGTTTTGGTGGCAATAGAAGGCGCCTTACAATCGTTTATGTACGTACGTAAGCAAGCGTTTGTTCTATAAACACTTTTCCTTTACTCTTTTCTTAATTCTATGACGTAAATACCTCAGCCGTAAACAACAACTACAAAGAATTTCTATCAGACTTTATGCAAAACTCAGAACTTTATAAAACAGAACATAACATAAGACATAACATTATTTATTAACTTCAGTATTATTGTAATGTAGCATATCTCGAAAACTCACCCTTGGGCCCCTTGTTGCCGCAGTGCTGTCGAAATACCGAACTGTCTCTCGCTTCAACTTCGCGCAATGAGTGTCGGGCTGCGCGATGGCTTCACGACATACCCACACTAATTTTATTGTCGTGATACAGTTTATAAATTTATTTTATTTTTATTATTTTTTTCCTTCGGTGACGGTACACGTTACACTTGTTTATGTATGCATACTCATTTTTATTCATTTATTTATCGCACAATGTACATACTTAGAGGTCTGTTTTTATTCTTCCTTTTATTTTATTATTATCATTATATTTTTTAACATGTGTCTTATGTAACTATTTTATTTTCCTTAAAATTATTCTTCGTTGCTTCCGTCCGTGCGTCACTGCAGGGGTGCCAACTGAAAACCAGTGTTGGGTACTTACTGTGCCCAGCTTAAACTGAGTTGGTGAGCCCTTTCGTCGCGGACATGCTGCCACCCTGTTTTTTTTTTTTTTTTTTATTTTGCTTTTTTATGTTTTTTGCCTTCATTGTTGTTATATTTTTTACTGTTTTTTTTTATGTTATTATTGTTTTGTTCTTATTGTTTTTTCTTTTATTTTATTTTTTTTATTTGTTTTTCAATGTTATTTTGTTATTATTTTGTGTGTTATTCGGTGGTCCATGTCGGTGGCGAATAAATTATTTTTCTTTCTTTCTTTCTTTATAAGGAACTATTACATAAAACGCAATTTACTTCGGAGGTTACAATGTCTAATTTTGCATTAATCTTTTTTTTATTGGTCCACAGGTCCATAGAAGTATGGTTGAAGACTGGACGTCTTCACAGCGAGATCCTGGCTGAACAGAAACTCAGCGAAGGTCAACTTCGGAAACCGGACTCCACCATCATATTCTGGTTGAAATGCGAACAGGTGAGTCTTTTAGCTTTTTAATTGATAAAATGGGTACTCATAATTCAAGCATAAGGTCGTTGCAAACCTAACAAGCACGGCTCCGATACGGCTCCAACTCAGCAATGTCATTGTTATTTGTCATTTAAATATGAACTTTATGTCGTATGACATATTCCACAATGTCAATACGAAAAAGCTGTAGCGCGCCGTCCGCTCGCCGCCCGCCCTCCTAATTCTCTTCAAAATCCTGGACAACTTCAAATCTAGACTTCTGTGACTATGGGATCTAGTAATAATGTTTTATTCACTATATTATTGTGGAATCTAAATTCTAAAATACCTATGCTACTGATTCTGACTCACCATATAATAAATTTCTTAAAAAACAAAGAAAGTGTCCATCACTAAGAAGTTTTTATAAAAGTTCCAACCCCTCAACGACAGGTGTCGCTGAATTAAACACATTATAATAATTATTAAACACGGCGCTTCCTGCGTTCCCTACAATTTATTATGGTCGCATGGATAGCGCGCATTTTCTTATAATTGCCAGTCATTTGTCCACTGTTTTTATTGTATTTCGTTAATCAAAATTGCGTCACGTAGATGTTGGTTGATTTTTGTCATTTTTAGTTCTAGTACCTCCGATTTTTTTTTACTATATCGCTAAAGGAACTATTTTACTCCTATCAGGACTCGCCCTCTTATAACACGTCCCACCAAACCATTGTCAATAAGAAGAAACGATTTTTTTTTAAGGGGGGATCATCATATATCATCCAATCACTTCTCCCGCCTGGGTGAGACGGAAGGGAGTGACAGACTCTTACTGACTTAAAACCACCCCGTTCCTTCGCCTGCACGACGAGCCGGAGCCCCGGTTACCCGTTAGGTTCTCCGCGACAAGAAGAAAAGGATAGAAGTGAATTTTGTGATACTCTTCTTGAGAAAGTGATAAAGTGTTTAAAAAAGTCCTAAAGTGTGCAATTTATTGATAATCTTTAGTATTTTTTAAGTTTTGGTGCATTCCTAGTTTTTATTTCACATTCCTTTCATAGTAGACTACGTATTTAAATAAAGCTACAAATAAGTTGGCGTCTAATTAATCCTGTTAACCAACCAATAAACTATACTAATGGTATTCATGACATTTCTAATACACCTTTATCTACTAAGATCTAATAAATTACTACATCGAAGAAAATAAAACAAAAAAACACTCATACGCTGCGTCTAACATGTTCTAAAGGATTGAAAACGCGACAAGGTGGGTTTAAAATAAACATGCGCGTTAACGTTTAGCACCTGATCTTAGAAAATGAACAAACTGACCCTGCATCCGAAGTGCGATTATCTAAATGCATTAATTACTGTATCCTCACCACTCATACGTATGAAATGAACAAGTTATTTGTAAACTAAACACATCGATATATTAATGCGGCATGTGCAAGGGTTGGACTTCGTAGCTCCCTTCGCCCCGACTTTTAATATACAAATAATCCAGAAGATACACTCGTCACAATACTTGGATGGAATGACTGCAGTTCTAATAAATACATTGTCTTAGTTTTTTTAATTGTTTGTGAATGTGAATAAGTGTGGGAGAGCCATGCTTCGGCATGAATGGGCCGGCTCCACCGGAGTGATACCACGGCCTCACAGAAAACCGACGTGAAGCAACGCTTGCGTTGTGTTTCGTCGTGTGAGTGAGGTTACGGGAGGCCCAATTCCCTCCCCTTCCCCAATCTCCCCAATTCCTGAATCCCCAACGATCCTCAAACTCCTAATTCTCCAAAAGTCTGGTAACGCACTTGTAACGCCTCTGGTGTTCCAGGTGTCCATGGGCGACGCCGATTGCTTACCATCAGGTTATCCGTCTGCTCCTTTACCGGCTTATGCCAAAAAAAATCTTAAGAATTAAAATGTTAAACAAATAATTTATTGCATAAACTGAATGACAACCGAACGTACCGTAATTCAATGATATTGTTTTCGTAATATTGAAATGCGCCTATAGAAAATCTTCTTGAATTCCAAAACCCAAATATTTTCTTCCTTACTCAGGCAAGCACCGTTAATTAATCAAATCCAATGCATAAAATTACACAGTAACACTTCTGCATCTCCCTGCGTACATCGACGCAGATGCGCCGACGCAGCACCTGCCAATCTCGGCGTGCGCGCAGGTGAAACTGTGTTTACGTTTTTTACAACCCTGCGCATCGACCTCCGCGAACGAGCGATTAATAACGTTACTTTGTTGCTGTCTTGTTTGGTTTAATTGAGAATTTAGGGTTGATACAACATATGGCCTTTTGCTCTTGTCCATCGATGTGATGTGAAATGACGTCGATTGTCACAATTTTGACAGAGGTGGGTAACCATGTTGAAGGTATTTTAAAGGTGTTAAAATTTGTATTGTAACTTTCGTGAGACATACTAAATAAATTATTAACGTAATAAACGTGTAGTAGCAGCGCGACAGTCGCCGGGTCGCGGGTCGCGAAATGCTGCTCATGAATATGAGCCTCTAGCATGGTTTGAAACTAGTCGAGTTCCTCGTCAAATTATTACGTGAGTAAGTGTTTCTTCGGTCGTTGTTTTGTCAATTTATTACGTGAGTAAGTGTTAAAATGCCTTCGGTCGTTGTTTTATTAATTAAATATTCGTCCAGGGGCAAGTATATTGGACAACCAATAATAGGTAGACGTCTTGCCTCTAAGCCTATGGGTGACTGAAAATGAATCGTTGTAATAGAAAGGTAGGTATTTTGTCTTACTCTATTGTAAATTAAGTGTTTCATTCACGAAAGAGAAATGTATTTGTTCTCTCTATACCTATATATATAAAAAGTGCGTTAAAATGAGAAATATGAATTTAATTGAATAATATTTATAATAATTTATTACGTACATAAAAGAAACCGATTATGCGTTTCTTTCATATAGTGAAATGATTTATTGCGTCCAATGTACAAGTAATTTGACAAAAACAGGTGTTATAATGGCATTATTATAGATTGATTCTAATTTGCTATAATTATTAATAACCACTACAATATCAATTATTTTATAGTGAAAGTAAAAGAAAGTTAAATGTCAAATTATTTTCTTTTTACCTAGGCATATACGCATATACATTTCAAATTGGCTGAATGAATTACGAACTGCGCACATGAAGTAGGATAGTCTAATTATCAATATTTCACTTTTGATAACTGAAATATGTTTACTTGGAAATAGAAATATAACGAGATACACCTGGCTTAATTAATTTTTTTTTTAGAATACCCTATCACGCAAGGGCGGCGTCGTATCTTAACTAATTCGCATTTGGCGCTAGTAGTAGCTGTGTAACCTCTTTAGTAGTGCACCTTTAGCGGTATAGTCTGTGGCGCGGCCATTAAAAATGCTAATGTCATTGAGCTCCCAACTTCGATGTTACAAGCTTAACACGGGTGCACCGGCGATTTTTTTTCAATATTTAGTTTTGTTTATATTTAATTTACATTTTTTATGCTGAGTTCTTTGCAAAATGTTGCAGTACTTATGTTTTAAGCAAAAAGCACATAATTATGTCCCTCCCTATCTTGCAATTTGCAGTTGCTTGGCGTACAGGGTTTGCCTGTTAAAACAAAAACTTTTGTCTTATCGTATGTATGTAGAAGACTTTCTATTTAGGATACATGCATTTGGAAAAAATAGAGGCGTCTAATGTAGGCACAGGGGCCTAAAACATTTTTTTCGAAGTCCTAAAAGGTAATTAAGACATTCAAAACATAGTTTTAAAAATAAAATACCCTCCTAACAATTTTATAACACCATCATCGACTCATGCGCATACGCAGGTTTCACGTGTCACGTGACATTCCCGATATAGGCACAACAACACGGACAGACAGACGGCCACTTTTTACTCGTTTTCTAAGCAGATGCAGATGGTCAGTTATAATAATTTACTCGCATAGATGAGAACAGGTGCCTTCTAATATAACTTTGTATTTGTTTTAATTTTTTATCAATATATTTCATTTATTTTGTGCTTAACTTGGTGCGTAGTTTTAAATGACTTGGCGCCTTTTTCCTTTTTTATGTTTTGTTACTTTGTTGTGTGTGGTTAGTACAGAGGCCTTAGTACGAGTATCTTTACGTTTGAAATATTCGAAACGAGTACGCGTTCGGCACTCTGATTGGCCGGCGCCAATGAAACAACCAATCAGAGCGCCGAACGCGTACTCGTTACGATTACTTTAACTCGTACTAAGACCTGAGATGCTTCCTACGGTTTCACTCGTTTGTTCATGTTTCGAAGTTACATCTGTTGCAAGTTGCAACGGGATGTCAGATAGCCTATCTTTGTGATGGGGTAAAAAGTAAAGTAACCCGTCAAATAAGTAAATATTATTCAGTAATCGCTTTTTGCTATGCTCTTCGCTATGAGCCCCTAGCGTGGCTTGAAGTCGCGGAGAACCTAACGGGTTGCCGGGGGGCTCCGGCTCGACGTGCAGGAGAAGGAACGGGGTGGTTTTTAGTCAGTAAGAGTCTGACACTCCCTCCCGCCTCACTCAGGCGGGAGCAGTCATTCGATGATTTTCCCTCATTAAAAAAAAGCGTGGCTTGAAAATAGTCGAGTTACCTTGTCAAGCTCTTTCGTCAACGACCCGTAGACATAAACATATAATTAGATGACAATAACATACATTTAGAACATACATTAGAATAAACATAATACACATTAGATCCGTAAAACCAATCTATTAAATAAATGGTTTTTCTTTCTTCTTTCTTTCTTTCTCTATCCTTTAATCTATGTATCCTAATCAGATTGAAAGATTTTATAATCAATTTGTTTGTCTAACCTAACAAAGTCCCTAAATGCCCTAACGGCCTTGATTTCTAAACACGATTAGCTATTTCCGAATTAGCAACAGCTTATCACTTTGTGGTCCTAATTCTAGCTAGTTATTAATTAATGCATTCACCCAATCGTGCCTATTACAGGCTAATTAAGTCAAT